TGGAATACCGAAGTAACGCTATCAAAACAAAATAAAGAGAAATTAAACTATAACCAGCAGAATACAAACGGTCTTTCCGCGACGACCTTATATAACGGGGCCGTTGTTGATTTTAAGAAGAGAGCGGAGGCCCCGACTAAGCAGCAAACCTGGCGGTTCCTTTTCCGACTTCAAAACTAAGGCAAAAGCGACGTTCGCGTAAGACGCCGCTATGTTTTCCCTTGGGGCTTGCACCTTCCAGTTATTGGGCATATTGGGCTTTGAGCGCAGCTCCCTAATTGGATGGCACTAATTAGCGAGGACGGGGACGCGCTCCTCGAAAGGATGCATGCGTCGTCGTCGCGAGATTCTCGTTCTTAAAGACGGAAAAGGGGGGGGGGGGGGGGGGGGAGATTTAAGAAGGGGATCACAGACGCTCGCTGTGCCTGTCAGAGACAAGACGCACATTCGGTAAACTTTTGCTGAGCACGCAGAGGGGCCCATGCGGTGCAGCGAGCGGAGATCGAGCCGTCGCTGTTGCCGACAAGCGCGCGTAGTGTTTAACTTACGTTTGACTTTACCTTGGACCGCAACGCACGCATCCAGCCTCCTCGCGCAGTCGTGTTATCTAAGCATGTCACGTGACTTCGCGCCCTGGAGCGTCGCTGCGCCACTCCGAACGGTCACCTGACAATCGCACGGTACTGGATTGGATGAGATGGATTTTAGCTTCCACTAAGGTCCATCATAAGATGAAACGGTGCATGATGGATTCGGTCGAGATCGGTAATGGACGGCTTTTGAAATCTGATACTCGGCATGCAGAGCGCGGAGCGGAAGCTCGCGCTCTCAATGGGCTCAGACATTATGGATTCGATTCGGACTTGTGTCGAGTTGTATATACAGCTGTCTGCAGAGACACGCGCGAAGTTTAGCGTGTTCTGGGAAATATTTTTCATATATTTTTTATAACGTTTTTTTGTTTGTTTTTTTGGCACAAACAACAATAGACGCCCGTCTACGTGAGGAGCTCGCCTAGAAGTGTATTGCAATCTGGTTTTACAGGATTCGTAGTCTGAACGTGACTTCCGCCCAGGTCCGCTGCAACGTGTCCGGAGTTATAATACGGGCATGGATAGAGTGCCTCAATGTTGTTCGTTGGCTGCGCCTTGCTAGAGTGGCGACATCCTTTGGGAGGGCAAGTGCCGCCTTTTGTCCAAAATGGCAGCGGCTGCCACTTTGTCTCCCGCGATGACTTGACCTCGTAAACATGAGGCCTGTGGACCGGCTTGAGCCCGGGACAAGGGCCGAATTATAAAGTACTCCTTGAACTCGGGATAAATCATCTTAAGTAGAGTCTTTCTCGACTCGGCAATGAAACGAAGCATTGCAAATGCGGTCATCTGTACAATGTGTTCGCATTGTTAATAGTTTGCAACGCCGATAACAGACATATAGCTGACGGAACAGGTCACCTTATATATTAGTAAAGTTCCTGCGTAATTTCATAAGTCGTAATGGTTTATAACTCCGTAAACAGCTCATAAACGGCTACATATGAGTCGAGACAAGAAGGCGGTTTCGCTAGCAGACGACAGAGGTATTACTGAGAGCCGTCAACCTAGCAACACTGGGAACGTTAAGTCCGTGCTCCGGAGCGCGAAAGGTTTCGCGCTCCTTTCGCTAAACGGACAGGAGTGCCGTCGGAGACTGACACTCGAGCACGCTGTTTCCTGGACCGAGTATTTCTCGGAGCGCGAGTGACTAGGGTTGCCAGGTTGGGCTATAAATAGCCCACTTGGGCCACTTATTTTTGTAGTTGGCCAGAAATTCTGGTGGCTGGCTATTTGGCTATTATTGGGCTATTTCATACCCGAGATTCAACCGTTTTCAAAGCACTTGGTTTCAAAGCTTTAAACATGGTATTTCTGAGCCTTGTGGGAAACAGCAATCAACTCAAGAGATTAGGACAGGAAAATATCGAAATCACAGGCGTGAACACACAATATGTGGACCCTGATTGGTGTTGGTCGCTGAGGTGCGATACTGTTTTTCTGAAGCTTTTTGGCGCGATTTAATACTGCAGGCGGGAGCGGCGGCAGGTTTTTCCAGAGAGGAGTGGGGGGGGGGGGGGGGTTGGGGGGGGGGGGGTTTACCAGATGTTTGAGATTCCCCCCTCCTTTCGCTACCCTAAAATACGCATGCAGATCTTTTATCCCCTTTTTGTGTTCTTTTGTAAATGAATGTCTTGCGTCATGCATCATGTTATCAGTGTTTCAAAGGGATGTTTTAAATACCTTGTACGAAGTTTTATGTGGAAGGCTATTTTTATAGCCCTACATTTGGCTATTTTTGGTCTATACCTCAGAAAAATGTGGCGTGTTAATCTGCGAGTACCTGGCAACCCTGGGAGTGACTTCTTCGCGCTCCGTGACGTCACGTACACAAACAAGATGGCTGGCTGTTGTCGAGACCATCCAGACGAAAGGCGCAGCCGGACCGCTGCCCTTTTTCAGTTGATTAGTATTTAATCCAGCAGATAAAACCGATTTGATTTGAAAGCCAAGACAGCAATTAGCGTTGCGGAAAAAGCTTGTTCGTGCATCTCGCCTGGACATGAATTCATATATCAGACGGTACCGTGCCGATAGAACAGCGACAGAAGAGATGAGGGGGCATTCGGACCGCTGCCCTTTTATATAATTCTTAGCCCAGCGAATAAAGGTACTTCGGTTGGAAAGTCGAAACATCACTTAGCTATGAGGAAAAGGTTTGTTCATGCGCCTTGCCTGAAAACAAATTGATCTATCGAACGAGCGTGCCGAAAGCTCGGCAATAGAAAAGTTGTCGTGATGAAAAGACAGACCGCTGCCCTTTTTAAAATGCTCAGCCCAGCCGCAGCGAATAAACATACTTAGATTGGAAAGTCAAAATATCAGTTAGTGTTACGGGAAAGATTTGTTCATGCATCTCACCTGAAAACGAATTAATCTATCGAACGGTAGCGTGCCGACTGCACAGCCACTGCGACTGAAAAGTTGAGAAGACAGTCGACCGTTGCCCTTTCTAGAATGATTAGACCAGCGAATCGATATACTTTGAATAGGAAGCCAAAACATATCAGTTAGCGTTGCGGAAAAGGTTTGTTCATGCATTTTGCCTGAAAACGAATTGTACTATTTATTGAACGACGGTGTGCCGGTATCGGCGTAACTTCCTTCTCGCGCTGCAAGACGGAACCACGAAATATCTGACAAGTTTGAGGTTTTCCCGCGTCGACGAGAGGGCTCAAGAATGTTGTCTTTAATTCCGAACATCATGCATGGTCAATAAATAGATCGGCCAAGGTAATTTTCCACATATGTGTTCGAAGCGAGTCTTCAGGCCTTTTGGGAATATTAAAACGTTTGTAGGAACCTCATAACGTCGCCGTCTCTTTTACTTTACATTCTGCCGCTCCACACGGGCCTAATTCATTTATCCTCGAAATAATTTCGGCTTCTGCACCCCCGTGTCCACGAGATGCCGGGTTCGTCATAACCGTGCGGTCGGAAGGACCTCGTGTGACTCGTCGATAGTTTCGGTGTAATTACAATGCAATTACATGCAAAGGTGCAAGCGAGCTAGACAAGAATGACGATAGCAATCCCCGGAGAAGGGGAACGAGAGGGACAAAGGACAAACACAAAATCTCCAAACACAGCTAGGTGACTGGTGCGCGACCGAACCCGGACCAGGCGGATATTTTCGGTCGCGCACCAGTCACCTAGCTGTGTTCGGAGACTTGTGTTTGTCCTTTGTCCCTCTTGTTCCCCTTCTCCAGGGATTATTTTCGTCAGTTTCGGCGTACGGTGCTCCTGTACACCATACGTTGTTTAGTTGCTGCGCTCGGAGTATGAAACTCGGAGCGTTGGAGTAGAAGTAAAGGAGCGCGGACTTAACGCGCCCATCGAGACACTTTATGCGCGGAGGTTTCGAGGGTCTGGCACTTTAGTGGCGTAAATTTTGACCTACACTAACCCCCCCCCTCCCCCCCCCCCCCCCAACCGTTGACGCACTACCAATTTAAATATATATATATATATATATATATATATATATATATATATATATATATATATATATATATATATATCTATCTATATATATAAAAGAAAGAAAGATTAGACATTGAGGTGTTAGGCTAACGTGGAGGCCGACGCATTGCCCGGTCTCGTCCCGTTTTATCCAGTGGCTTGAAATTGTGAGTGTACAAACCTCGATTTGGCGCACTCACAATCAACTGAAACTTGGAAAAACCACGCAAAACCTTGTCACACGTCCTGACTGAAGTAATTTCTATGTGAAACGACAACAGTGTTTCGGTTGTGGCCCGTGAGGCAGTGCGACATTCAGGTGGGAATTCGAGGTCCTGTAGTACGCAAGAGACTCTTCAGACACAGACAAAAAAAGAAGAAAAAAAAACAGTTGCCCGTTTTTAAAGTCTTCGAATTCAGGGTGTTTCCTTATAAACACCCTGAACACAAGCGGGCAGCGTCGTATTGGTGTGCGTTCATGTAGCCAACATTGCGTGATTGAAGTCGCAAAGTTTGAAGCAAGACAGATGTTTGTCCTGTCCTTCCCCTTTGTCTAACTCTTTCGTATTTTTGAGTCCCTCTTTACCGCTCAATTGCCCCTGTAAAAACGCGCATGAGGCAAATGTGACCACGAAGCGTCCTTACGTAGTTGATGCCTTTCATAACCATTGCGCGTCTTAAATCTGGCTGCTAGTTCCTGTAGGAGTCGTGCATTCAGGAGTATGTTCATAGTACCTCCCAAGAAGACGTTCATCGTGGGCAATAGGAAAGGGCATGAACATAAAAAGCAGCAAAGCGATACCGTTTGAAAGGAACCAAACGTGCTATGACTGTGTCGATATACCGTAATTTAAGTCAAATAGGCAAACTATGTTTACGAGTTATTTTTGGTCACGTCTTCTCATTAGTGCCCGTTACAGGAGACGTGTGTGTAGCCGTTCTCACCGGCGGACACGTAGAGGTGCGAGCCGACGTCCCTCTCCCTGATGACGAGCGTGCCGGCCTCGAAGACCTGCGGGTACATGCAGTCGACCACCTCCCGCACCTGCGATGAGTCCAGATTCTTCAGGAAGTCGTTCTCCATGATGGCGTCCTTGATGAGCTGCTTCGACCTGCGCGGGGCAAGAGACGCACGGCGAGTTATCTTCGCACCTCTCTACGACAGACCATTTTTGGTCTGTAGTCACCATTTTCGGCGTTAGTGCGTACGGCGCGTGCTTTGCTCTTTTTTCGAAGCGACGAACATGAGCGTGCTTGGTTGTGGTCTTCTAAGCATTAAAACGGTGTGTGGACCATACCCCTGTTTATAAAGAGCCTACATTCTATAAAATCAGGTGTCTATTTTTTCGCAAAGCACTTCGGACAGTCAATCGCTCCAATTTATTGAGGAAACTCAGTGAATAACGGGGCTCAGAATATGTATTAAGCTAATATATATATATATATATATATGCGCTGTGACAGCAAGAATGACGGAAGTACGTGAAAGGTCTGGCCGACAAAGACAAAGCGTAGACTTTTTTTTTTTTTAGGTTCAAGCTTATTTTTAATTTCGTCATACTCCGAGCGGCCTCCGTCGATTGCAGCGATTGACACTCCTCAATTCCTTGCGGAAAAGTAGACGCACCAGATTTCATAAGAGTCCACAGTCCAACATGCGAGAGAAACAGGCCAGTGGGGTGAACTTGACTGCCACTCCTACAAGTGAGGGAACCGATCGCCAAACCAGCCAAAGGCAGCCACATCTAGTATGGTATAGGAGTTGCCACAAACACTTTTAAGGAAAGATGAATAGTTTGTTGCAACACGGACTCTTAAAATGTGCACGCGTCTAATTTTCTGGAGAACATCCAGATAATTCAATCGATAGGATCAACGAGCAGAGTTCGGTGAATGACGAGGTTCAAATATTTTTGGTCTAAAGATGAATCCTGCGACGTGACCATGACGTTTGACATATTCACGAGATGCTCGGTGTCACATCGCAGACTTTGTTTTCTTGACTAATGTTTAAGCGACTTTAGGCCTTGAACTGTAGTGATGCAGAAGGTTGAGCATAGCCAATGGTATAACCACACATTGACATTAGCATTTATTGATAATGACATATTACATAGTAAAATAAAACAAGCGAGGCGCTCCTTTGTGGATATAAATAGAAGCATGACTAAACGACTCTGTTCGGCATGTTTTTTTTTTTGTTCGTATGTCTGGAAAGAGGGCACCACTTTGGGAAATGCCTGTTTGCAAACCACCCGGGTTTATGTACGAGGCGACAGGCATCGATATCCGACTCGACTTAGCCGATATCGAGGGAGGGTAACATTCCATCACGAACTCGCAATGGCTAAACGGGCCGTTGGAGGGCAGTCAATGAGACACGAACTGCTAAAGCCTTATTACATGCTATATATTTAGACTGTGTAAGATCGCTTTGCGTCTGTGTGATGGTACTGGTCTACACTCTGAAAACTTCCAGCAATTCCCTACTACTACTAATCTGGTGTGTTTAACGCGCATCACGCAGTAGAGATACCCGGCCGCACACCTGTACTATGCTCATCCAGATCAAAACGGGCAGGGGTGGAGATTGAATCGAGCATAAGCAAGTTCTCCTGAGCAAGCTTTCGCTCCACGTCCAGCGTGCTGCGGGGCGCTAAGGCACTCCGCCTCCAATTATCCTGTCATTGAGATAGCACGGCCATTGAAGTGCAATAGAGCTCGCAATCTTTACAGGCCTAAAACTGGGTGGCCACGGCGGCCGCCTTGAATGTGATTGAGGACGACAATAGCTATTATTAGCACCGAAGATACGCTTCCTGGAACGCGTCTCAAACTGGGGTCTTTACAGTGCCTGGTTTGTCATGGAGGTAGGAAGCTTCTGAAGGTGGCATGACGCCACCTAATTCGAGCATCTGAGGGTGACCAGAAAAGCTGTGGTGTGGGTCCTCGCCAAGAACGCATTCCTCCACACTTCTGGCTTCACTGGTGGCGTTATGTCGCCTCCAGAAGCTTCGTACCTCCATGTGATTTGGAGTCCTTCGATTTCTGCCTGATGACGTCACAGTTCTATCACGTTGCCTGACGCAATCCTGGTACTAGAGCAGCAGCAGTGGCGAATGCAGCAGACGCCTAATTTGATGTAGGCCATTGTTCGGCTTAAGAGTTCACAGAAATTTCAGGAGTCATGCGTCGGGACGCCACGACGACAGCAACACTTACGTTCGTTCGTCTTTTTTGTTTTTTGCTGGAACTCTTACGATCATTAAACATGATTGCGACATCTGTCAACATGACGTGCCGGCTGTGACGTCGCTTGTTGCCACTTCGGAACCACTTTCGATGCACAGGAGGTAGCTAGAGGGCGTTAAGCAGAACAGTCGAGGTCGCTTTCCGGGCACCGTACCGGAAGAAACATGCTTGAGATTAGCGTATTGCAGACCTGAAGTCCTTGGGGTGGTGGGAGACGTCGATCTCGAGGATAAGCGTCCGGCAGGTGGCGCTCTCCCCGGATACGCCCTGCTTCTTCTGCAGGTTGCTCTGGCCCGCCATGGAGTGGTGCTGGTGGATGGTGGCCAGCAGGTCGGGACGGCCATCCTTGGACGTGGCCTGCAGCACCGACTGCGGGCAAGCAAGGCGATGGACTCAGGGGACTAGGGTCCATTCGAGATCCGGGCTCGAAAGCCTTAGGAAAGCATTATTGCATATGCACTAATCTAAGTTTAGTTAGACCATATGAATCTTGACATAACACACATCACAGATTCCTCAACCGCCAGCTTCCCCTCCACCAACACCCCGCTACCCCCCCCCCCCCCCCCCCCTCTCCCTAAAAACAAAAACCAAATGTTGACCATGTTAAATCATCCTTCTTCCTTGGTATGAGCAAATAGACAGAACGACGTCTCAATTGAGACGTTGTCTTGTCCATTTTTTGTCTCTTCTACGTTTTGATGTTTCCTTCTCTATTCCAGTCTCAGGTTCATTCAACATGGTTCATATTCACCAGCTCGCCTGCATCCTTACGATAGTTTTTTTTTTTTTTTTTTAAAGTTGCATGTTTAACACGCGTAACAAATTCGAGGACAAAGGAACCTCGTGCGTGTCGTGGTGTACCTGTCAGTAAATCACGAATCACCTTAAAGTCTTCAGGTGTTGAATTCATAAGCTTAAAATTCCTAATCATCAGGCCGGGAAAGAAGAACGGTTGGGGTGGGGGGGGGGGGGGGGGGGGACGGATGCAGCACTAGACACGAGAGAAGTGTTTTTGTCAACCGCGTAAAGGGTCCTTTACACAGACTCCAAACCTGATGCTATAGCGCGTTAAAAAACCTTGAAATTCTTTGTGAACCTATAACACGCGTATCATGCAACCCTTGACAAGAATCATAGGTGCCATGACATGTTAAGCCGTACGCAATATCGGCGATTTCTCGCCATTTCTAGGTGCCCTGTGGAGAAGTGCTAGTGGGTCGTAAAGTGAATAAAGCAAACGTTGCAGCGTGTGACTAGGATTTTGCACTTTTAAGGTTAACCAGTCGGAATTCGGATACTGAACTGGTGGAACGTTCCTACAGATGTGGTGAGTCGAACGTGCTTATTGGGCATTGCACACACGGTTTTTATACAGACCCACCAATGCTAAAAAGGCTTTTGTTGGATAGTTTAAGCGGCAGCATAGAGCATACGTTAGTAATCGAGCGAATAAAATTTGAGTACAGTTAATGACAATATGAGCTGGCCCAGTTTAGTACTTGCCGAAAGGGGTAAAATGCCACACGGAATGCCTCCGGTAGGCTAAGCTCTGGAACCGACTGTCGCATCGCCGCAATAGGAAATCTGTCAGTTCACTCTAACCACATTTATTTTTGACAACTTAACGTACCTTGGAGTTTCCGCGTGGCTTCTGTCCTGCCGCGGCCTGAGCTTCGCTGGGTCAGCTCACTTTGCTACACCATCATGAAATATCTGCGCGTCTTAGTGAATCGCAGAACACGTGGGGAGCCAAATGCACGGAGGGATATGAGCAAATGACAGGGCTTGGAAAATAATTTGACTCAGAATTGCAGTTTTTAAGCTATTGACACGGCGCGTCACAGTCCAGATGCACACTCTTAACGCCGATCACATTGCCGGGTCCAGTTATAACTGGGCCCTAGTTTTTCCGTTGATTATTTATAGGAAAAATCAACGCTTGTTTTTCGCTGTTTGTGTATTTTTTTAGTGCTAGTGTATTTCAGGGGTTTGTTTTGGGCCAAACGACACTAAAACGGGCATTCCCGGTGAAAGAATCGAATTTCAAGGTTTCAGTTAAATTCTAAGAGGTAAGGGTTCTCAGAAAAACAATATTCCTAGCTGGAGCAAGAATTAAAACAAATCTTTATTTTAAGGTCTTAACTGATTTTATATTACTGAACCCAACGGATGTTTATCGGTGTTTTTCGGTTTAAAACTGATTGTGTATTTTTAACACTGACGGATGTTCATCGGGATTAAAAAAAACAAAACAAAAAAAAACAGGAAATTCTTTGGCCTAGCTCTAATTTACATCTGGTAAGGTATCCACACGCATCCCAAGTTTTCCGTGTGCCCTACTGGACAGTATACTCGCTCGCACGGCTGTAACACTGCCGTGAGTGCATAGTTTTATGAGAGCCCGTGGGTCTTTCTAAACCACTGTGCTCTAGAAAAGTATCTGAAAAGGATTTGCATTTGACCTTGCGGTACGGAACATGTGAACTAGACTAGTCATCATCCGTCTTTTCACCAGAAGATAGTTTCACGGATTGATTCTACTTAATCCTGCAACCTAAGACGAAATTCCTCAACACCCTCACCTTTTTTATCAGCCTTTACCGCCTCCCGCGCCAGTCATGGGCTCGGCCAAATGAGGCTATGAGGCACCGATTTCCTCGCTTAGAACAGCACGCAACAGCAAAAGTGGCTTCCTTTCGTCGGTCTTTCCATTAAAAAAAAGTCGGTTACATACTATCGACTGTTCACGCGCAGGACGATACATGCCTATCTCGGTCTTTTGGAAATATTTTGCAAACACCTTTTGTAAACAAATGGCAAAAATATGAATCGACACCCTGAAACTTAGGTAAACAAAGTAACCATAATTGTTCATTCTTTAGAGACTTTCAAAACCAAGCTAAAAAGGTTCGGCTTTGTGGTACTCTCGGCTTTCCGACAAAATTGCCGCATGTAGCAATTTAGCCGAAATGGGAAATTTTTAATCTAGCCTACTTTTGATTACAAACGTCTGATTTGGTAGTGAGTAAAAAAAGCGATAGATGGGTAGGTTCCGCACAACGAAAGAAATTAAGTAGTACATGCGAACTAGAATTCAGTATTTAAATTATATACAAGACATTAAAAAAATGATAAAATGCTTTTTTTTTTACTATGTCTGTCGGGTTGCGTGGAAGCAATAACTTTAGGTGGAAAATATTGTGGCTACTTTTAAGATTTTACCATCATAAGAAAAAACAAAACAAAAAAACAGCCCCGGTTCTGAGAGAACGACTGCCGTTTCGGAGAGTTGGCGGAATAAAAATGACGATTTTAAAATGAAGGTGCAGATGCAGAACCCGGAAAAATTAATCAAAACTTTCGTCTCTGCTTTTCTAACCAGTTTTCTGGGAAATGACTTCCTCGCGAACTATTTTAGGAATGCCACGTCGCCATGTAGCGTAATCCCCCTTAACGGCGCTCGGACGAGAAGTGAAAGGTGTCTTTTTAAGTTCAACATACTCTGCGCACGCATCATTTTTTTAGCATGAGCCTCTGGACATGGTCGCGGGTATGCCGGTGCGATCCGGCATTTCGATTTGACGACTGTTAAAACCGCAAGCGTGCACTCTCCTACGAGGGCACGTAAGCATGCCGTAAAATGTCCAGTGCACCTCTTACCCTGCTCGGAAAATTCTGTCGCTGCAAACTACGCAGGGAGCTAGGCAAATGAAAAAGCTAAAAATATTCTGATAACTACTCAAAAAAAAAAAAAAAAAAAGAAAGAAGAAGAGCTTTCGTCGCGGCACTGGACACGACGTTTCACGTGTTCGCTGTTACAGCACAGAAGATATTTTTTTTGGTTGAAGATATTTTGTATTTAGCTTTGCCATATTTTTGTAGATATCAGTGACTGGCCGCCCGGAGTGTTTTGCTGGAAACTAGACGGACCGGATACCTTAGAGCGCACACTGCGAGACACTGTTCGCGCAAACTGGCCATCTATGATTTCTCTAAAATTTTATTTCGAAATGGTGTTTGTTAGGCATAGAAGTTCACCTCTCACCTTAGTGTGGTGCGTGCGCACTTTGCAGCACCAAGTAGTTTGGTGCCAGCTCTTCGATTTAGGAAAAAAAAAAGAAAAAAAGAAAACCGGCCATCGCTTGTTTGCGCTAACAGTGACGCGTAGTGTACAGTGCGCGCCGCAGACAACCCGAACACAAAGCCTGCGTCTTATGAGATATTGCTCATGCGCGTCTAGCCATAAATTTTGCAACCAATAAAAGTTAATATTGTGGAAATTGCCTTATAGTGAATCCCACCAGGGCGATTGAATACTGAGTTTGTTCGTCGACAACAGAAATCACGACAAGGGAAGCAGCATCTTGTCAACTCGAACAATCTCCCGCAAAATCGGCTGTTCACATTAATGATCCTTTGTGTTCAACCTTCAGGCGCAAGAAAAAAAGAATACAACAGAGAGGCGAGGCTAGAAAAGTGTAGTTGGCACGCCTCCGCACAGCAGTGTTTCAAGATCGGAAACCGTGCTGGTTAGACGCGATTCAAAGGCTGGAATACACACACACATACACACACACGCACGCGCGCGCGCACGCACGCGCACACGCACACGCACAAGCATACACACGCAAACGCACACACGCACACACACACACGCACACGCACACACGCACACACGCACACACACACACACGCACACACACACACACACACACACACACACACACACACACACACACACACACACACACAAGAAGACATCAGTAGACAAGACATGGTGCAAACCGAAGTGCGCTAATCATAGTATTGTTTATTGTTTTTATATTTAGCCTTCCCTACACTTTAATGCAGCACTTTACAGAAATCATCCATGCCATTAAAAACATATTTTGGAAAAGTAACGCCATCTCTTGTATACTGTGGTCTCCTTTGGTCCCTTCTTCTTTCGAGGTGAAACTTTCTAAACAGTGGTTTTTGATTATTCTTTCCTTGGAACGATGCGCGTACAAGTACAATCTTCCACAATATGAAAGATCCCTTCCCCGAGGCAGTTTATGCGGCGGTGCACACTTGGGACAGAGACACTTTATTGTTATTGAGGGGTTAGAACAAAGGTCCCTTTGTTTGCTCGCCTCAAGTAATGTAGGCGCGACCAAAGCGAATTCTCCTCTGGCCCGGCCCCAGGTTTTCGACGAATGGGTCTTTCATATTGTTGGGGGTGTGTTCACAAAAGATATTTTTCCTGACTCGTTTTGAATATAAACATCAAATCAAATTGGCTTTATCTAAACGCTGAGACACCAAGAAATAGAAAAACGGGCAAGACATGCCTCAGGGTTTATATTGTTTTCTAACCTCCTCGCCCG